CATAAATAAGTATACCTGTTTTTATTGAAAACCGGGCTACTACAAAATGAGAGTCTCTCGCACTGATTGGTAATTTAATGGCCCTTCTTACTCGCCGATAAAAAGGAAATTCTTGAATACACGAGCTTTCCAGTTGATAGAGGTATCTGTCTTAAAGATGTCAAAAGTGAAGCTTTCCTCATAGTAGTCTGGAAAATAAGACATTTTGAGGGACAGTTCTAGTGTTAGCGTCACCTATTGCAATTTTCCCCAAGTCACCCCATTTTTCATTGCCACTAGTCTCCAAAATACAATCCACAGCAACATTGCTCAAAGGAACGAGGGGTCCTTAAACCTCTAATTTAACTGCTTGTTGACTTGGAACATTAGCAACAGAATGTTTCATTGCTTGCATGCAAACTGCACAAAAACTGCATTTCAGTGCTGTAACATATGAAACTTTAAAACAACCCCAAACCCTTGGTATTTAACAGGATTACCCCAGATGCATACCAGCTGATAGCCCTGTCTTTACAGCAAGCGGACAGCCAATTAGACACAAGTCCCCCCTTCCCCCTTCAATTTGAAACAGGCACTGAGCTAGCCCCGGTGGGAATTTCAGCAAATCCACAGTCCAGCACAACGGGCAGGCTCTTTAGAACAATCCCACCCCATTGAAATTTAACCAGGCTACGATGGTTAATAGTCTATATTTCTCTTGACTCTGACATGTGCATTAAACGTATTCCTTTTAAAATGGCTTCCCCGCTTGGTGTGAAAGATTTTATAATACATTTCCTATTTTGGAAATTAAGCTTATAATTGCCAAAAATTCTCCGCTTTTAAGGAGAGCTGCTCTTCTCGTGACAAAAACCTCATTCAAATTCCCAGCGTCCCAGAATGATTCTCTCAAGCGTTAAAAAGGTGCTGCCTCTAATATTTCTATGTGAGTGAAGTCGCTCGCCACCTTTTTGATCTGTGAGTGTCTATAAACATTCAACTACGCAAAGGCCTTCGCGCATATTGAAGCAGGTAGTTCATGTATCTGACAAAATAGTGGTACTTTAACCCTTTATTTAATCCCTGAGTGATCAGCATCAAATTTCTCCTTGTAATATCAATGCTTTGTAAAGCAGAGCGGTCATGACAATTACGGACATGATCACACAAGATGAATTATTATGTTCTTGATATTTTATCAACTTCTCCCCACTACTTCTGTGAGAAAAGAATTGGGGCAACAAATGAGAATTCAAATTTTGATCTTAGGGTTTAAAGAGTTAAAGTAAGGACTAGAGGTTCGTTCAGTTGACCTTCTACTGATTTAGGAAATATATAGAATAATACTGAGACAGGAATATAATATATAGATTTAACCAGGGCTAAAAGCGAAGCTCTGGTTAATAATACTAATAAACAGAAAAAAATTAAATCGTATAATGCTAAAAGGGGACGGCAATGAAAATGACCCAATTAGCAAAAAAAAAAAAATTGCAAGTGCAGCACACTTTTTTTTTCGAATCAGCAAAAAAACAAATTTACACGTGCAGCACGCATTTTTCTAGTTTCTTCGCCGTTGTTTTGCTCTATTACAATGCCGTTTTGTATGACTAAAGGTGATGTTACACGGGACGATTCGCAACGACGATTTTTAGCGCCACATGGTGTTGAAATGCTGGAACAATGTTGTAACCATTCAAAACAATGTTGCAACACCGTGTTGCGCTAAAAATCGTCGTTGCGAATCGTCTCGTGTAACATCACCTTTACGTCCTAGTTACACATTATTTTTGTGGGGGAATTGTCGCATGTGCTTGCAGAAGATTTTGTTTCCTGTGTTCATGTTCGCTTTTATTTTTTCACTGCTGCTCATTTTCACCTGGCCGCTAACATGTTTTTCTTCCAACGAAATTCGTCTCCCTAGCTCTTTCTCTGTTGTCCACGTGAGTTTAAACATCAAAAATAACGTCGAAAAAGACACGACTTTGTTGCGATTTTCTTCTGTTGCATTTGGGTTGCCATACCTTTTGATTATATCGAACGTTACAAACAACGAAATAGCCTGAATTTCATCGGATTGCTTCGAGTCGTTTATTCCTCTCAGCAACGTCTGAATCGACCGACCGTTAATACCGCCCTGTGACGTTATCACTACCCGAAGACCGGGCAGGGATTTTGATTGGTTGATTGTCTAAACATTCGCATAATTGTGTATAATTATGAGAAATATTCAGGGGATCACATCCCAGTGGCAAGGTTGCGTGGAATTCAAACATTTCGACAATCCGGCTTTATCGTTAACAGCAAAATTGCCCTTGTCTTCAAAACTGAAATGCTAAATTGAAATGCGAATGAAGAATCATTGCGGAGATTCGGTAGGTTTTTCATTTAGAGCCGCTTTGTGGTTTCGGCATAGCCTGAGTATTAGGCCTTCCTAAGTGGCTAGGGGAGAGGAGATTTTAGATGGGAGAGTAGGGAGGGAGGAGAAGAGAAAGGAAGCTCTCTCCCTTTTTGACTTCCATCTTTCCACTTTTCCCCAAGAAACGCCTGATACTCAGGCTAGTTTCGGCAGTGATTTTGTTTATGCGAAGTTTCTGAGACCGATGTTGTAATTCGACCTTCTAGTTTTTTTCAGCGTCAAGCGTAATGATTCTGTTAGCTTTTCTGTCTTGTTTCCTTGCTTTCTTTTTTCTTCGTTAAGGATAGCTTATTTTCAATAAAAGCAAATCGTTGTGTTTTTGAACTGTGTTCCGTGTGTGCATTTATTTCAGTGCGTGATTGCGACCGAGTTTGATTATGGAATTACAACCGCTTCAAAGTACTGCATTCCGTTGATAGATTGAACGTTAAACATGAATTACGATCGAAAAAAGTAAAGCCATTATGTATCCTGCAGACATTTCCAAACGATATTTCTTGGTTTGCCACTTGAAAATCTTGTTTAACTTTTTGCATGAATCAAAGCAAAGGAGTAGTGACGTCACTGGACGGCATTAACGGCCGGTCGATTCAGACGTTACTGAGGGAGTAATAACGAATCAAAGTTATCGGATGAAATTCAGGCTAAAAATGAAAATGAACTTTGAAAAACTGTTAGGCTAACGGCTAACAAGTTTTCAAAACTAACAATTGCAGGCTGTCGTCAACTTCTAGAACTTTGTTCATCCGTGCCATCTTTTGTCGATGATTTGCCTTTTTTATACCTTCTTTTAATATTTTGAGCAATTATTCTTGTTTCACTGAAATTGGTGGCAGTTGCTACTGTTTAAATTTGATAAATTTCGTGATACCGTCCCTTTTTTTAAGGAATATATTGATTCTAAACATTAGTGCTAGTGATTCTAGTAACATCAGTGCTCCGGCGAACAAAATGATTGGAGTAAAACTGAATAATCGGGAGGCCTTCTATCGTGAAGTGACCAGTTTTCTCAATATGATTAACAAATAGATTCCATTTGGCCGTTCGTCTGTTCAGTTATAGATCACAGATGACGTCAAAATGTGCCACTTCTGTGATCTATAACTGAACAGACGCACGGCCAAATGGAATCTATTTGTTTTATATAATAAAGAAATAAAAATTAATAAAAGCGTTTTTATTTCGAAAGAAGATACAAAGCAGGGCCGTGATGGGTCTTTCCGACCGCGAAAAAAGTGATTTGACGTCATTTGTTATCTATACAAAATGGAGCAAACTGATTGGTTGTTGGGTGCAGCAACGAATTGTGATTAGCTAAGGAAATCACGCCACTGTCAAAACTTAATCGAGAAGTTCGCCTTTCGTGGAACAAAACATCACAGCGAAAGCTCAAATTCGGTTCGGAAATCTTGAAATGTGTTACAAAATACTGCTAAAATCTAGTCAGTTTTGCTCATCAGAGCGGCTCTGAAGCCCGAAGAACACTTGCACACCGCCTTGAATATTACAGTTGTTGAAAAAACCGCTCGGGAAGCTTGCTGATGCGGACGACATTGACACACTGGAAGCCATGCGATTCGAGCTTTCAATTAATGGTGTAGCTGATGGAGTGCTGGAAACGGTAGAAATTTGTGTGCTTTGAGTTTGGTTGTACTGAAGAGCATTGAAGATTGTGTCGGATACACTTTCCAGCTGAGGTGCCGATGGCCTGGCGCTGTAGTGTGAGATGCTTTGCTCGCTGCTATGCCCGGAGACGAACATTATATGGCGGTCGGGTACATTCGCATCTGAAAGCACGGTTATTGCTGAAGCCCGGACGGAATCATTGGTGTACACTTGAGAGAGATTCGCTCCTTTGGATATGATCGTCATCATTTCTCCCAGCTTGTTTACGCCAAGTGGGCTGTTTTCATACCACACGATGTCTTCTGTGGTGAATCTGGCTTTTGGTTTTTGAAAGAACGCTGGGCAGGAGGGATTCAACTTGGACACGTACAATTTGAGACTGGCAAACGCATCATCNTCATTTGTTATCTATACAAAATGGAGCAAACTGATTGGTTGTTGGGTGCAGCAACGAATTGTGATTAGCTAAGGAAATCACGCCACTGTCAAAACTTAATCGAGAAGTTCGCCTTTCGTGGAACAAAACATCACAGCGAAAGCTCAAATTCGGTTCGGAAATCTTGAAATGTGTTACAAAATACTGCTAAAATCTAGTCAGTTTTGCTCATCAGAGCGGCTCTGAAGCCCGAAGAACACTTGCACACCGCCTTGAATATTACAGTTGTTGAAAAAACCGCTCGGGAAGCTTGCTGATGCGGACGACATTGACACACTGGAAGCCATGCGATTCGAGCTTTCAATTAATGGTGTAGCTGATGGAGTGCTGGAAACGGTAGAAATTTGTGTGCTTTGAGTTTGGTTGTACTGAAGAGCATTGAAGATTGTGTCGGATACACTTTCCAGCTGAGGTGCCGATGGCCTGGCGCTGTAGTGTGAGATGCTTTGCTCGCTGCTATGCCCGGAGACGAACATTATATGGCGGTCGGGTACATTCGCATCTGAAAGCACGGTTATTGCTGAAGCCCGGACGGAATCATTGGTGTACACTTGAGAGAGATTCGCTCCTTTGGATATGATCGTCATCATTTCTCCCAGCTTGTTTACGCCAAGTGGGCTGTTTTCATACCACACGATGTCTTCTGTGGTGAATCTGGCTTTTGGTTTTTGAAAGAACGCTGGGCAGGAGGGATTCAACTTGGACACGTACAATTTGAGACTGGCAAACGCATCATCGTCAGCTCCAGTGCTGCAAAGCCTTGTTTCTCGTTCAGCTAAGGGCTTGCTGGTTTCACCACCAGGATGGTTTTTTATAGCTTCTTCGTGGGTCATAACTGCGTACTCGCGGCCGTTTGCATCTTTGGTGAATTTGAAACTGTCGCGGCTAAGATCTCGCTGTTACTCCCTTCCACGCCTGCACCAGTACAGAGAAACGTAAAACCACGTTCTCCTTAGCAATCCGGCTGGATTTGTGACACTGAGGAAAGGGCTGGCTCTTATCTTTGCGAGGTCTGAAGGTACGATAACTGGTTTATGTTGAACGTTTTCCTCGCCGGCGCGGCGGTTGATTCGTAGCTTCGCGTCCAGAATTTTGTTACTCTTTTGAAACACTTGGTTCCTTGAAATTTTCACTGTACGGCCATTGTTGTTTAGGTATCTTTCAATTAAATTCCGAAAACCAAGAAGTGCTGAGCGACTGTATTCTTCACCTTTTTTCGTTCTCGCTTCGACGTAAAACCTTGCTAGGTTTAAGTCTAATTCTGCTGTATTCATTTTAAGGAGAGGTGTTGTGATGCTTCTTGCTTGACACCAATCTGTGTAAACAATTATTTTGAGACTGTATAGTGCTGAAATTGTCTAATAAATCAATTTCTTTAAATTTCTGCTTTTTGTGTTACTTAAATGCGAAGCAAAAAAATTGTTTGTTACCTTGAAATAATTCTACGACCCATTTTGTGTTTCGTTTTGTCGCGTGCGACTGAGATTGCTCCAGAATTTTTTTCAAGTCATTCTCCAAGTAGAAACGTGTCTTTTCTTCTTCTTCCTTTTGGAATTTATCAACAGCCTCGACAAGAGTTATTTCTATCTCCTCGTTCGCCCAATCCGGCGAAATATTTTCCAAAGCTTCAAAATTTTCCGCCATTTTGATTTTTTTCCTTCGGCTGATGTCGTCAATCGTGCATCTGTCCTCTAATAGATCATAAGGACCAATCAAAATGCATGAATTACTGACTTTATTATATAAAAGAAAATGGCGAACTTCGTTCGGTGCAATATACCGTCAATATTCAAATGAGGAAGACAAGACACTCAGTAACCCTGCGCACAGAAACCAACCTTTCGTCTACACAACAATTTAATATCCTCCGTCAAATATCCCCTTAGAAATTCAACTGATATATTTTCCTTTCATCGACATTACAGGGAGCTTAAGCAACGATGACGGCAACGGCAACGAGAACGGCAAAAAAGCAAAAGGTTTAGATTAGCAAAACAACAACTTTGAACATGCATCTCGCTTTTTTGTACATTCCTTTGCTGTCGCTGTACGACTACAAGGTGAAAGTGCCTAATTTCACGTGTTGTCGAGGACGTGAACACAAGACGATGACTTTTTTTTTTTCTTTTCCTGAACTTCGATACAGTCTTTTTAGAATTCAACTCCAGAAAAATAAGCCAACATTTGACGAATGGAACGAGTTGGAATAAGTGCGATAAAGTTTGAAGTAGCGCAAATTCACTTTTTGAGTGACGTTTTCGTAGCCGTCGCCGCCGTTGTTGCATGGGATATTTGTAAAGACATCACTGTTCATAACAAACAAAACTTAAATAAGTACCCCTGAAAAAATCGCTTTTTCGAGGTTATTTTCGGAATAATTCAAAATGGTCCAGAATGTACACTGCACGAAAAATTGGATTTACACAAATTTACTCGGTGTAAATATGGTGCAAAAAAGTGCAAACTAGGGGGAAATTAAAAGCAAAGATGGTAAATACCGCATTTACTTGCCAGTTTACATGGGGGTGTAAATTTTAGGGCAAATGCGGTATTTACAAGCTTTGCCCTTTATTTAACCTTAGTTTACACTTGTTTGCACCAAATTTGCAGTGAGTAAATTTGGTGTAAATCCAGTTTTTCGTGCAGTGGTAGTCCTTTATGCAGGACGCTGGCGGAACGCTTCTTAAAGAGAAGAGGCTCACATGTATGTCATCTTCATTTTGGAAAATCCCCTTGTCGACGTCAGGAACTCATTGATTTGATTTCAGGTTATCACTTTCAATTTCACATTTACTTTGTTCCGCTTATAAAATCATATTTACGCATTTTATTTAGAACCCATTTAACTGGTGTATTTTCAACGAGGAAGGCACAAAAGTGAACTAAAGTATTTTCGAAGTTGTTTCCCTCATTTTTCAAAAAGACTGACTGAGAAAAGTTGATTAATTAAGAATGCATACAATCTATATGAGTGCAGAAAGTCACTCAGTATACCGTAAGGGAAAGCACGGCGATATGATCGCTTGCCGGACAAATGTATGTCCCTTCGCTGGCTTAAAAAGAAAACAAAATATCGCTCTTGGGCTCCTGTAATCTGAATCATGGATTCGATCTTTTTTCTTTTTTTTTTAATAAACTTAACGGTATCAATATATCAAACCTATGGATGCTGGTTAAATTGCCTTCTTGGAGATTTAAACCCTCTTCTTATAAAGCTAAAATTCACAGCCTGATAAATTTGGCAAAGCTTCCGTGTTTACAAAGTTGGTAGGATTATTTTTATTTATTTAGCTAAGGTTTATGAACTTTTGGACAAAATAGATGCCCAAGCATCCAAGTACTATTAATTCAAACAGTGCAGAACAGTTTGGTGATGCAGCAGTCCTGGAGACTCCTAAAAAAAACTCTGTTTTCGAATTGGCCTTTGAATACACAGCTGCCATTGTCTTGAATGGGAACGGCGACCAGTCTCAGAGCTTCTTAGACTGTTCCCCTTCCCCTATTTTTTCGTGAGATCGTCGAGATATAGCGCGTCTTACCCTTAATGGTGGCCATCTTGATTTTCAAACGTACCGAGGGGAAGAGCGTCGGGGATTAGAGCTGTAGGGGGAAGGGGGGGGAGAAAAATAGGAAAAAAATAAATAAATAAACATAAAAATATTTTTGTCGCTTCCTCACAAACCGCCCCAGCCCCCTATACTAAGTAGTTTTGACACTCATGCAAGATGGCAGCCCGTAACGCAAAGCGCTCTATCTCGACGATCTTTCGGAAAAATAGAGGACTGTGAACAGTCTAAGAGCTTCTTAGCTCCATGTAGCTAATCATCTACCAAGGAAGGACTAAATATGCCATTTGCCACGTTTCATGTCCAGTTCTCGGAAGGAATATTCTAACAAGAAAGTAAATCTAAACTTTGGACAAAGCACAAAAGTTATTTCTCCGGCCTGCCTATGAAAATCAAATTAATTACCTATACCTGTTAAGCATTTTCCTAGTATGACCGAGGTTTTAGACCTTCTTCGGTTAATTTAAATACTCTTTTCTGCCGTTAATTGTATAACGAAAGATGTTAATACAAGATGGCCTTTTAATTAAACAAGTATAATGTCTTCAAATAGTGTCTTTGCGGCTTTGCTGGTTTTACCTTAACGTATTGCACCTACCGTCTAGCGAGTAAGGGCAAAATTTAAAACCGAATATTCTGAATGCAAAGATGAGAAATCTTTACGTCCTCGGCTAAGTGAGCATGGCAAGAGGCTGTGATATTAATCAATGAAAACATTTTTTTCCCCTAGAATTAAAATTTAATTCTTTGAAGTTACCTTATTTTTTCGATTAACTGCCCTGGGCGCCTATTAAATTTTTGGATCTTGAGAGTGAGCGCTGATTCGAGGCCGAGCGCTTATAAAATTTTCACCATTCTCAGCAAGTGTAATATGTTCATTTTGCAACAAAACAATAAATGGCAATAACAACAAGCGAAGATGTAACAAAGCAAGGTTTCTGTAAAATACTCTGATGAAAACTCCGTCTTCGGGAAGGTATGTTATTATCTCTTATTTGAGTTTGTGTGTGAGGGAGTGGGGTGGGGGTGGACGCTTATTTGAGGCTGGGCGTTTATTACCTTTTTCTGCCTTTAGAATTGGCGCTTATTCGAGGCGGCGCTAATTCGAGGTTGGGCGCTTATTCGAATAAATACGTTAATATGAAACCTATGTCAGGCATTTTCAAACGTTTTCTTATATTTCTAACAGAACTAGACGTATTCCAGTTCCTGTTATTGAATCTTACTGGGCGGCAGTGCATGCTAATAAGATCGTAGTAAAAATGAGTTCCATTATTGAATTACTGGTGATGCCGCCTAAAAATCTTTGAAAAATCCATCCGCAATGACAGTACTAATCCGGATATATTTCCTGAAACACAAACTGATAAAAACGTCAGGAGGGTGGATGGACTGTTGCCTGTCAAAATTTGGCCGTTAATAGTATGGTTTTTTGCCGAAGACCTAAAAGCTGTCAGAAACCTTTATTTGCATTTTATTTGTCTGAAAACACACCTGCTATTCGTTTTTTAGGGTTAGCAAAACTGTTTCAGGTCCATTATCGATTGTTTTTGTCGGTTCACCTGCTGTTACATCCGTAAGTAAAAATAGAGACCTTTAGATTCTAAGACGAAGATAGGAGGACGAGATTTTCTCAATACCAAGTAGTGTGCGCGTGTGATCCGGTGTCATTTTGGCGGGGAAACTTTGTAGCCGTCGTCACTCTACTTTGAGATTTTTAGCGAGAATATCGTTGTCGTGGAAACAAGTTATCGACGGTTAGAAGTTTTACCAAGATCAATAAAGGGATCAACCTTCTTCAATAATATTAACAGTGCTAGCGTTTCTGGTGTATAAAAGGACAATGAAGCTTCCAGGGTTCCTTTCCATACCTTAATAGACGCAGGCGGTTTTCTTTAACTAAGCTTTAAGATCGGTCACGATTTATCGGATCAAGACACTCTTCTTACATAGTTTAATTATCTCTAGGAATAATTTTTTTTTTTTAATGGAAGTCAAGAGACTATAAAGGGGACAGAGAGGCCATCCCCCATATACACCCTGTTCCATAGGTAATTCGTCTCGAGTTATTTTTAACACCACAGATCTCAAGGGGGATTAGACAACAGCCAATCACATAGCGCGAATGTGTTCCGCGTGGATGACCCACGCTGAGAGCCACGCGTCCTTCACGAAATGACGCAGAACAAAATGGGGGAAGACGCGGAGAGCGATTTTGCTATTCCTTTTGTCGACGAAAACGACTACAGCGAGATTTCTGCGAAAGCTGTGTCAGCGAAACCGAAATTAAAAAAGAATCGCCCTTCCTCTCTTGTATAGAGCTAACAGTAGAGCAGGGAAATCCTTAACACACTGAATATTCTCTCAGGATCATTTATAATTTACAGTTTGAAGAGAGCAATTTCTGGTTTGATGTTTATTTTTTTCAGTCTTTATAGCGATTATTCCTACCCACTTACTTTGTCAATTGTAGGCGAACCCTCCTAAAGCTGAATTTCAAGGGACCATATTCAAGCTCAGAAAGAGAAATAAAATTTCGTCGTTGCTTATTTACGTCCTCCATAAAACGCGAAATTAGGCATTTTCACGTCGTAGTCGTGCAAAAACGGGAAAGAAATGAACAAAAAAGTGTGTTGCACGTGCGAAGTTGTTGTTTTGCTAATTAAACCTATTGTTTTTTTGACGTTCTAGTTGTCGTCCGCGTCGTTGGATCTTAAACTCCCTAAATTGTACAAACGACCGGTTTCAATAGACCGGCGAAATTTCTCATTTTATTAAAGCACTGAGGTTACGACAACTTCGAGTTAAACTGATTTCACGGGTTGTCAAAGAGTCCAGCGATTCCTTTTTCCCAGGTGAGCGCCGACTCATTTCGCTTCAATATTCAGGAATGCTCTCGATCTTTTTACGCTTTCATTGCCTCTCGCCCGACATGTTTTGCACGGCGTTTGGTCATGCGAAACCTCCACGAAACCTCCACGCCTCGCGCGAGGTAACTTTATCCCGATTCTAAAAATAACTCGAGACGAATTACCTATGGAATAGGGTGTATATGGGGGATGGCCTCTCTGTCCCCCTTTATAGTCTCTTGTGGAAGTGTAGTAAAACTGCTCTATAATTGCAACATCACGAAGGGGTTTCCCAATTTAAATGATAATCCGGTCCAACTGTTTCCTTTTAAGTAAGTAACTTAAATTTATTTTGCTGATTTGGGCTAACTTAAGAAAACGGAAACTCTGAACTCATCTAACATATTTATTTCATAATGTCCGTTTTCTTTTGGAGGCCGTTTATATAAATAAACCCTGCCTGTTTTATTATCAGTTCTATCCGTGGTCTAACCAAATAAGGTAGGCAAAGTAATCATTTTTTCTCATATTGCATTAACTTACAGGATTTTCGTCGACAAAAAGTTAAATTAGTTTTAGGCCTTAGGGTCTAAACATGAAAAATAATCTAGTTTTTTCACAAATTGTACATACAGAATTGCTCTTGAGGAAGACGAAATTTCAGAGAAACAGTTCTCAATCGACTTAACTGGGGAACCAATGGAGTAAAAATGTATATAATGAGTGTAGCTGATTTCAAAAAGTTAGTGGAGCAAAAGGAAGTGTCATTCACGACCAGTTAATGTGGGGTGAACCAGCCTCGCTCGTTGGCAGTCGAAAATATTTCTCAACTGACTTGCAGTTTGTGGGAGAAAAGATTAAGGTAAACCCGTGTACTATTACTTCATTTGTATTTTCAGCATAAAGTTTTGCATCATTACTTTTCTTCGTGAGTTGAAGCGAGTGTACGTTTTTTATCTGTTCGCATTTCGATTTATCTAACTCTTTCGGTGGAATTCGTTTGACATAACAACTAAACGACTAACCCGTTGCTGGTATATCTAACAATTATTCCTCGAGCCCGAATGGACTCTTAGTCACTAGCCCATAAGGTCGAAGGCGGAATGGGCTATCGACTCAGAGGCCATGAGGGCGAGATGAACAATTGTTTTAGTTATGTCCAACTAGTTGGTAAAAAATATCGAAAATAAAAAAAAAAAAGCTAGTCAAAAGCTAGACTTTTAGCCCTTTTTGCCGCCCAAAAAGCCCGCGGTTTTCGCTACTAGGGGGGCTATAACATATAGCCTAATGGTAGCTCAACCAAACAGAACGCAGCAGTTCGATTTTACTAAAATGCAAGAGACAGCTATCGTTGCCCTTAAAATTATAGAGCTACGTATTTGAGTAAATGCCACATAGTCTTTATCTACAAAACTGACAGACAGACGACATTTTCAATTGTATGTTTAGATAAGATTTATTCTTCAAAAAGGGTAATGTTGAAAAAAAATCCACATTTAGGATATTTGTCTAACTGTGTTAAAGGTGAAACTAACCCAAAGCATATAAAATGCTTAAAATTTTCATTGGATGAGGAGACCACTTCTTGGAACTTAGCCCAATTTCTTATTCTAGAGATAATTGCACCAAATTAACGTGACTTTGTTGTGTAAATATTTATATTATTCGTTAACAGTAAAGCTGGCACTACGGCGAAAGGGCACTTTCAGTCGGACAAATATTTCGATTTGCACATCTAGTCTTTTTTTCAAAGTTAGTGCTATTCCACAACTGAGGAAAAATGCTGGGAAAACAGAGAAAATCATCACGCTTAAATAAGGGCTAATAAGGTAAACTTGCTCGAGTTTTAGGCTGAGAACTTTTCTATCTTATTCTTATCGTGATTGCCTGATTGGCGCTCAGCTTGTACATCAAAAACCAAACGAATATAAAATGGCTTTTACCCTTATTGTTTAAATTTGTCAATTTTGGACAGAATAATTGTTGCTTTGAGCAAGACGTAGTTGATTGCCGCCTAAAATTAACATTTCAGTAAACTCTTCCGCTCTCCCTGTGAACAATCATAGATTCTGGTTTTTCTAGACAATTAATGATAAATTACTGAGGGAAATACTCCACTTATCGCTTCAGTGACCGGGATTTGAGACGACAATATCCCCAGAGTCGCCTAGAACGTAATCAAGAGTCATTTGGCTCGCCAAAATCGTTGATAAAGCAATTTACCCAGCTTAGTTGAGCACAGCGTTGAGCTCAGAAATTGATTGCAGTCATATCTACCTTCAGCGTGATATATCACTCATAGAGGGAAATCAGTTTCCGTTTGTTAATGAATAAATATCTAGGAGAAAAAAAATGCAACTTTTACAATTATGGATTTCAATTAAATTGCTAATTTACCGTAGTCGTAAACTTTACAGATTACTTATTTTGCCGTACAGGATGATTACTGAGACTGGCTTCCTGTTCAAGTAAGAATAAACAACAGAGTTTATAACTTCCTTTCAGAGGAATTATTTAANGAACTTAGCCCAATTTCTTATTCTAGAGATAATTGCACCAAATTAACGTGACTTTGTTGTGTAAATATTTATATTATTCGTTAACAGTAAAGCTGGCACTACGGCGAAAGGGCACTTTCAGTCGGACAAATATTTCGATTTGCACATCTAGTCTTTTTTTCAAAGTTAGTGCTATTCCACAACTGAGGAAAAATGCTGGGAAAACAGAGAAAATCATCACGCTTAAATAAGGGCTAATAAGGTAAACTTGCTCGAGTTTTAGGCTGAGAACTTTTCTATCTTATTCTTATCGTGATTGCCTGATTGGCGCTCAGCTTGTACATCAAAAACCAAACGAATATAAAATGGCTTTTACCCTTATTGTTTAAATTTGTCAATTTTGGACAGAATAATTGTTGCTTTGAGCAAGACGTAGTTGATTGCCGCCTAAAATTAACATTTCAGTAAACTCTTCCGCTCTCCCTGTGAACAATCATAGATTCTGGTTTTTCTAGACAATTAATGATAAATTACTGAGGGAAATACTCCACTTATCGCTTCAGTGACCGGGATTTGAGACGACAATATCCCCAGAGTCGCCTAGAACGTAATCAAGAGTCATTTGGCTCGCCAAAATCGTTGATAAAGCAATTTACCCAGCTGAGTTGAGCACAGCGTTGAGCTCAGAAATTGATTGCAGTCATATCTACCTTCAGCGTGATATATCACTCATAGAGGGAAATCAGTTTCCGTTTGTTAATGAATAAATATCTAGGAGAAAAAAAATGCAACTTTTACAATTATGGATTTCAATTAAATTGCTAATTTACCGTAGTCGTAAACTTTACAGATTACTTATTTTGCCGTACAGGATGATTACTGAGACTGGCTTCCTGTTCAAGTAAGAATAAACAACAGAGTTTATAACTTCCTTTCAGAGGAATTATTTAACGACCAGATATTAAGGTGCAATTCATATTATTCCGACAAATGTTGCTGGACATTCTACATACTCTGATAGCGAAAGGACACAGACTACGCTTTTGGTAAACCGATAATGTTAGTTTTTCAATACCTGAAGTTATTGTTTCCTTTTTTTCAATAATTTTTTTTGGCCGTATTCCATAGAGACTGAGGCAGTGTTCGGAAGCGGGGGAAGTTTAAGCTGCAACGATGACGAAAGCAACGAGAGAGAGTCAACTAGAGTCAAAAGAGAGACAAAAATGTATTAGGTTGAGATAACAGACTTTTGAACGAACATCACACTTTTTTGCACATTTCTTTGCGAACGTTGCTCGCCCCGCGACGTGAAACTGCTTAAATTCACGTTAGGGACGTGAAGACATTAGACTTGACGATTTGCCAATTCTATTTTTAAACTTAGATCTAGACTACAGAAAAATTCCCTAAAATATATCTGACACACTAAACTAGTGAAGATAAATAAGAGCGGTAAGGCCCGTTTCAAACGTCGTGTTACTGCCGTGCCGAAATATATTGATCTAATTAAATTCGACTTTAGCGCGACGTTTAAAACTAAGAGCCCGGAGAGGTTGCTCGCAGGCTAAGCGTACAAGAGGTAAGCATGCGTAGTATAAGGGGCAATGTGGGTGCCCTTGTTTGTTTGACGTTCATAGACAATGTGAACCAACGACGACGATAACCTAAAATCTACTTTATATTAAGATTTAGTAGAAATTCTCTTTATATCGCGCTTCTGTCAATGGATTAGCCTCAAAAATTAATTTTGGGACACCGCGCGTCAAATTTCTCATGAAAGCAGTTTTCTTACGAAAAAAAAAAAAGAAACAAACAAAATCAAAATCAAAAAACAAAAACTGTTTGTTACAGTTCGGTTAGGTTTGTTTTTAATGAGGGTTAATAATTGTAGCTGTGTGCAAATTGATAAGGAAATCTAACAAACGAACTTTGTGTAAGCCTATTATACATTTAAAATTATAGGCTTGTTTCAAATGATTCATCTTGCCATGCCAATAATCGAAATCTTGCTTTTAACAAATGTCGTGGCTTATAAATGTATTTTGTCCGTGGTAAATTTGAGATTTGCAGCGAGACTTAAATATAACACCCCAAATGAACGCTAACCCACTGCAACCAATCAAACTGTGTTTAACCACCTTAACTCTGTGCTTGTTCATTTATTAATCTATCAACCCATCAGCTGCACTCACCAGTTCATCGACCAATTATATCAACCAATAAAAAAAAAACACCCTTTTTTTGACAGACACTACTACACAAGATGGAAACGGGTAAGACGGCAGTGACCACATTAACTGCAATGTACGGCGTGGCGATGCTTTCTGCCGTAGTAGGAAACTGTCTCCTGATCTACATCGTGTGGAGAAAACCCGAAGTACGATCACTAACTAGCTCCATGTTCGTCAACATGGCCGTAGCTGATTTATTAGTGGCGTTTTTCATGATGCCTTTTTCCATTGTTCATCTTCACACAAACAGTCAGTGGAAGATATCTGGATTGCCTGCTGACTTAACTTGCAGGAGCTTCATACTGATTTCTTACACCACTTCAATGGCTTCTATCCTCTGTCTAGTATTCATGGCGATCGATAGATTCTACGCAGTTTTCTATCCCCTGATGGCTCGTGATGTCTGGTTTAGAAAGGCCAAAATTGTTTCACCTATGATTTGGATCTCTTCTACTGCTTCCATGGCTATTATGCCTTTCATCTACAAGTTAAATTATGAATTCTCTTTCTGCGAGTTTCACCCAAACGTTTTAGGAAACCAGACCCAAACTTTTCGTATCGTTTTCCTGTACATTTTTGTTGTCACCTATCTAATTCCACTGGGAGTTATTTCACCACTGTACATCAAAATTGCCCGTAAAATATGGTCCAACTATGTACCTGGCAATTCGTCGATTGTAGAGCATCAGCGCCGCAAGAGAGAAGACAGCAAAATGAAACTAATCCGAATGCTTATAATCATCGTTGTGGTATTTGCTCTTTCCTGGCTTCCCGCGCAAGTAATACACCTAATCTGGGCAATAAAGACATTTTATTTCCAGCCTCCATTAATTGCCATGTATCTGGGACTTTGGTTGGCCCATGCAAACAGCGCTATCAACCCGTGGCTGTATATATCCTTAAGTAGCAGAATCAGATTGGCATTTACCCGGATGTTACGAGTCCAAAACTCCCACGAGGTATATGTACCAAGGCCACAGAGTCCTCAGTGTAATTTCAATGAAACAACAGAAACGTTTGTAACACGATTTTAATCTCAGTAATAACAATGACTGTTAGAAAGTGTCACCTCCTACTATACCCGCAAGCCAGGTTTCCATAATCACTTAGTTGTATGCCTTAACTTTGGAAAATAGCCTTAAAGAATGTTTATAATGAACTGAATATGCCAGAGTACGAGTGTGGAACAGCTTTTTGTTACCAAAATGAAGACGTCAGAAGACGTCCGACGGTTTGCTAGCTTAAATTTGTAGACAAGGCCTTTAAACGTATGTTGGCCTCTGGCCTCTGGCAACTTATTGCAAAAAAAAAAAAAAAAAATCGTGTTTAACGTAAGCGGCAACTTAAGGCTGCCTATATCGAAAATCATATTCTTATGAATAAAAGTGACAATATCATAATGTTTTCTTGGTTTTCTTTGATTTTAAAATTAACGAGGTAGAATGCGTTTTTCAACCCCGCCCCCAATCAGACTAATTCGTTTCGTCGCAAATTTAGAAAAGAAAATATGATTATATCGAATTTACCTTATTACGTGAAATTTTCGTGACACGTTAATTTCGCGATTTTACGATGCACGCATTTTGCGACACTTAAATTTCTTAAATTGTTGTCCTTTGAATCCCTTTAATCTGGCGATATTAAGTATTATCCTTGAAACAAATAGAACAACTTCATTTATAATAACGTCAAAATTCATAACAAGAGCAGCTGTCAAGGGTCTACATGAGAACGTTAGCAACAAAGTTCTAACAATTTCCACAAGAATTTTACGCCTGTTCGTCAATTTTAGCCAACTGACTATGATCTCCATGGTCGTTTGTGTAAATTCGTCCTTTCTTCATTATTAGCTATTATTAATATATTGTCATTCACTTAATTTTCGCGTCATGTTATGTTCGCGACACTCATTGTTCGCGTTACTTTAATTTCGCGATTAAAAAAAAAAAATCGCGAAATTCGCGAAATTAAAGTGTCGCGAAAACTTCATGTAATAAGGTACTTTCCCCCTTTATTTTGTCAATTTAATCATTCTGTGTCAACATTGGTCCACATTAAATGCCAATGAATTATTGTTTAGAAAACATAGCAAGCAGCTCAAGAGAGAGTGGTCTGGAAATACGATTGAGATGAGAGCAATCTCTCTAAAAGTCGCCAGGTACACTGAGCAAAAATAATTATTACAATAGCTGTGTGGCTGATGATTAGGAGATCCTACTTCACTCAAGTTAGAGATTTACGTCAGGTTCAGTTTCGTTTATTTAGATTTTCCTCCCAAATATTGATTCTCTTTCCCTTTTAATATCGTTTTTGTGCTCCATTTTTTGCAAGCTATGTTATTGTTTTGAATAGTTATAAAATAAAATGTATGTCCTACGACTCAGTTCCAAGACCATTAATCACCAGAAGGGCTTATAATTTTTATCATGTTTTACTGTGAAATATCATCCAGCTTGTTCAAAACGTTCACTTCTGGTTCGGTGGCGTTGTTCCTAACTAATAGTCCATCAGCTGAGAGCACAGGTGGACCATCCAAACAGTTCCAGGGATTGTGACGTCACGCGCGACTTGTGATGTCATACATTTACTGTATTTCGTAACGCCCGCGCTCGGCTTGATCAAGAGAGAATGAGCTAAGAGAGCAAATCCCTGTGCCCCATGATAATTTTTTTAAGTCTATTTAAAGTTTGCGCGCGTACTGCGTAGGTTATTTTTGTTTTTGTTTTTTTTTTCCTTGACCCGCGTGGTCTACTTTCACGTGAACGTGACATGTTTCGCCGCCAAACATTTGAAGTTTGACAGCCGTTTTTGTAATTAGCGCCACAAACCGATACCAATCGACTCCTGTTGTTGACATGTTTTTGATCAGCGCGTTCCGCTCATAATTTGGGAATTTGGAGTCAAAATTTCACTTTGAGATTAAAGATTGAGATTTTCTAACGGCCGGTAGCCATTTAAAGTAACAAATATTGAATTCTGACACACCGTCAAAGCCAAAGGCAAAGGTTATCACGCGCGAAACATAAAACCTTTAATTGGTGGATGGCTTCAATTGTTTATGCAAATGTGCAAGATATTTTTTCTCTTTTTCCAGAAACGGTACATTTGCTTTGAAGAATTATTCTTGAGAGTTTCAAACTGCATTACTTCTTCTTGACGTCTAATACTTGCGATAAATATTTCGCCCTGCGAACACAAATCAGGTCAGATGCTTCAAGCTGTTAGGCAATCGCTAACCTGGATGCCAGAAACTTTTTATGCGAGGTTTCCGGTTTCGGTCAATTCTTTATAGTGAGCGGTGTGCCCACATTTGTCTAGCGCCCTCTCAAAATTCAAATGTTTGGCAGCCAACCATTCATGTTTGAACCCACTTTGAACCTATTTTCTCGTAATACGTGTCCACAGTTGGATCCAAACGACGGTATCACAGCTCGCGGGTGTGCGTGGATGTCGCCTGAAGAGACAGCTGTCGTTTTTGTACAATGTTTTCATGTACTGATGTACCGAAGACCTCAATTAGCAATTTTCGGAACCGCTTTCTCCGGCGAACTTCCACAAGCCAGGAACGTTTTGCTCTTCGGCAACCGCTCCGACCAGATTTTTCCACGTAGAAATCTTTTGACTCGTCGGCAAAAGTAATACCAAGTTTGCACGTCATATCGCTTTCTGTGCGTGATCGGCAGTGAAATGAATTACCCGCCAAGTTTAAAATTACATGACGCTACTCTAACCGACCAATAAGGTGGCGTCCTTAAAATAACCACGCAGGATGACACAGAACCAAGAATAGATTGAAAATAATTTTCATGGAAATAGGGTCATGTATGGGAGATCCGCTCTCTTTAGATCATTCTCTCTTGGCTTGATATAAGTGATCGGTAGAAATGCTTCTTGAAGTAAAGAATTTTGCACTTTTGATCCCAAAAGGTTGACATAATGTAATACAAATTAATAAAGATAACTTACCATATGTTTTAGCGTCGTGTTCTGCGACACCCCCGACTAATACATAATAAAACGACAAGGTCGTTACAAATTCTCCCATATTCTTCCACTTCCACGTGTCCCTCTCCACCCAGCCTCCGGAAAATCAAAGCCAGATAGTTTGCGAAGGTCGATGCCAAAAATGGTGGAGATTGCTTGCCTCTAATGACCTAAAGTGACGCCGCGAATTTTCACATGAGCCCCCAAAATCGCTATCGTCATAGGATGTGGACCAAAGTGGTCGATCATAACGGCCGTATCAAATTCGAATTAATTAACAATTAATGAAAGGGGCTGAGTATCTATGAAGAATTATGGAGATCGAGGAAGGTGTTACCGTCGAGGCCGCCGAGGCGGATAACACCCTCCAAGAACTCCATAATTCTTCCTATGATACAAAAGCAGAACTCAATAATCGTTTTATTATTCATTCAAAATAATTCCTTTTTTAAAACATAGCTAGAACATGCTTACCTTCCCCCATCGATGTTAAGTTCAGCCTTCGATAGTGCACGTTTAGGGTTGTTCAGCTCCGCAAATATTCTCCAAATAGCAGATGTCGACCTTCGAGATGTCTTCCTGCTGTTCTTGCCTTGCATTTAGCTATTATTTCGCCTAGTTCTTACACTGGAAACGAGTGAATGTCCGCCATTTTTTGTTTTCAGAACCAAAACAACTCAACCTCGTCCCCAGGTCTTCTCGGTTAATGGTGCATTAACCTGCACGAAGGCTGCACTTTCGACGTCATCGGTTCATTAAACGCAAAATTCTTCCAAATTTGGTCATTAGTAGCTGGTTATGGTGAATTATGCGTGTGCTTTTAGCCAATCAGAGTTGGGGAAATATTTTGAATGAATAATGACGACAATTAACCCTTCTCTAACGATCGATAATTGAACGAGTGAAATGTTTTGCTCAGTTAACTATTTCTCAAACAGCCTCTTTCCTACGCTAGGATACAGTCCTCTTAGTTAACACTTTCCAAAATGGCGGCCCTGACGATCGATTTATCGTTCGTATTAGTTCGCGTTCATTGCCCTCTAGTTCACAAATGGATGAGGTATGCATCATTTATAATGGAAGTGGTTCTTATTTAGCGAAATGAATTCATTGGAAAACTTGTATCGTGTAGCAGTGATTCTAGACCACAGAGCTATACTCGAGCTATCTGTAGGCGAAAGCGACTTCCCTAGAAGGCCTGTAAAGTATCATCGAGCTTGCAGATCTGAGTTCACTCACAGACGAGATCTCCAGATCAAGAATACTGAGACTGCTGCCAATGATTCGGTGCCAAGGAGAAGCTCAAGAGACGTTACCCAAGCGAGTTCAGCAGTGCTAGCTACCAGACTGCTGCATTTTCTGTAACAAGACTAAGTATAAGCCCAACTCAAAAACACGGGAGACGCTTCATGGCGTGCAAGAATTCCGTGCTTATGAGACGGTAAGAAAATGTGCCTGCTTACACATACAACAATAGCTAACAATGCACGGCTATGAGTGCTGTAGCTCAGAAGGTAATCGGACTATTTGCCAAAGATTTAATCTGATGTAGTGAAACAAAGTACCACGCTTCTTGCTATAAGGCGTTTGTACGTATTCAGTACACTACTGGTAACACTAGAGAGGATGAAAGTTCGAATGATTACGACATGACCTGCAACCTGCGTATGATGCAGTTTATAGATTTGATTGCAAATCAACGGTAATTGAGTTCAAAGAAATCAAGAAAGTAATTTCTGACGTGGCAGACAAATTGGGCATCAGTGTTCCAGACTCGCATAGCAAAAACCTCATGCGAAAAATGTCAAAACAATATGTTCGAAGAGCTACAATTTGTTATTTACCAACACAACAAAGTTCTGGTATACACCATCTCGTTGGAAATGCAAAATGTCATTATTGAGAACTTTGAACTGAATTTTGTATTGAAATTGACAAGTTCAAAATCTGATAACGAAGACAGTGTTTTTCAAGTAGCAAAGCTGTTTAA